ATATGTAAAATTAAGAGCTGAGCAAGTTTAATTAAGATATTGAGAGTGGTTGTTTTAGTAAATTAATGTGTTATTAAGATTTTTAACTGACAAATTTTTAGTTAAGTTTTGTGTAAGTGATTGACGGAAAGAGTTGTCTTGTATCCCTTGTTTTAAAAAAAAAAAAAAAAAAAAAATTAAAACATCTATCAAAACAAAGTTGTACTAAAATTTTCTAAAATTTTAAGTAAAAATATCTTAACAACTACCTGGCTAAATTTGATAAAAATTTTTTTATTTGAATTTTAGAGGCTTGTAGAATTCAAATAAAAAATTTTTATCAAATTTGGATCAGGTAGTTGTTGAGATACCTTTATTCAAAGTTTTAAAAAAAAAGTTAAACTATCTATCAAAACAAAACTATATTAAAATTTTTTTAAATCTTTGAACAAAAATATCTCAATAATCACTTGAGCAAATTTAATAAATTTTTTTATTTGAATTTTACAGATCTCTAAAATTCAAATAAAAAAAATATCGAATTTGATTAGATGGTTATCGAGATATCTTTGTTTAAAGTTTTAGAAAAATTTTGATACAGTTTTGTTTTAATAAATATTTTGTTTTTTTTAAAAACTTTAAATAAAGGTATCTTAACTACTATTTGACCAAATTCAATGATTTTTTTTATTTGAATTCTACAGACTTCTATAATTTAAATAAAAAATTTTTATCAAATTTAACCAAGTGATTGTCAAGATATCTTTGCTCAAAGTTTTAAAAAAATTTTAGTACAGTTTTATTTTAATAGATATTTTAATTTTTCTAAACTTTGTGCAAAGATATTTTAATAATTATCTGATTAAATTTAATTAATTTTTATTATTTAAATTTTACAGATCTGTAGAATTCAAATAAAAAAATTTAATTGAATTTAGTTAGATAAGTATCAAAATATCTTTATTCAAAGTTTTAAAAAATTTTAATTTCTATAGAAGATATAAATACTAAATATAGCCCACTATATATATTATATATTTTAATTTATAAAATTATTGATAATTTTTGATTTACTGATCTGTTTTAAATGAATTAACTATCAAACTATTAGTCTTAGTAAGAAGATTTTAACTAAGATAAAATTATTAAAATCTAATTACAGAATCTCAAGATTACTCAAATTTTGTATGATTTTATAAAAGTTTTTTTTTTTTTTTCTACTTTGGCCATCTAGCCATTGGACCTTTATTACATTTAATTGTTGGTAGATAAAGAGCAATTACTTGTATAATATTGAGGTATGACAACTTGCAGTTACTTCTAAGAGCATTTACAAGCAACTGGCCGCACTGAGCAGATATATCTATTTGAATTTATTACAATAGGTTTCAAAAAAAAATAACTATCTTTCTCAGAAGGCACTATCAGACTACCACTCTACAATAGGATATTGCCTATCTTCTCATAAGAAAGTAGAAAGAAAAAATTTACTAACACTAATACTAAACTAAAAGAGAAATACTAAAAAAATGAAAACTAATACTAAAAAACAAATACAAAACCGAAAGATAGGGATAAAAAAAAAAAGAAATCTGATAGGTCACGATTTCTGTTATCCTATTTTAGTAATCCTATTTACGGACTCACATAAACAAGTAAACAATACTGACTATTTTGGTGAATTATATATCGATCTTTAGGAGGAAGTAAACTAAAATGCGAAAAAAAAGTGGTGGGTTAATAAACCTTTTTTGTGTTTATTTCTTGTAAGTTTTATGGTTATATAAAAATATCCAAAGCTTATAATACTTCTGGCATCGTTCTAAACACTTTGTGTTCTCAAAATATCCTTCTGGTTTGGATACTGAATAAAAGTAAAGAAGTTCACTAGCAAGAAACTTGACCTCTATCAAAACCAGTTCAAAATAGACTACATCTCAGTTTTATACTCTTTGTAATTCATTGACAATACACCTACTTTCGTAGAACCAAGTTTATTATTTACTTTAGTATCTTCTATAATGCTGACTATAGTTTGGTTTCTTGATTTTTGTTGACCAAATGATCATCATTTATAAGAGTTTTAACTTTTATTAAAATTACACTATATTTAAGTAATCTTGAGATTCTGTAATTAGATTTTAGCAATTTTGATTTTATTAGAAATTTCTTATTAAGACAAATATTTTGGTATTAATTTATTTAAAATAAGATTAGTGAATCAAAAGTTATTAGTAATTATATAAATTAGAATATAATTATAGTACTATAATAATATAAAGAGAATTACTAAATATACATAGGTATTTGAAATACAGGTATGATTTAAAATTAATTTTTATTAAAAATACAAGTAAATAATAATAATTTTAATTAATATTAAAGTTAAAGTTAGAGATTAGAGTTAGTAAAAAGCATAGTTTGTAGTAAAATTTTGCAAAAAAATTTGTTTCTTAGAGCTCTAAAGATAGTTTTATAATTAAAATTTTAAGATATTATTAATTCTTTATTTTTTTTATTTTTGTTATACAAAATGATCTGCTTACTGCATATTTTGATTGGTTTTCTATTTGTTTTGTATAACAAGTAGTAGTAGAAAAATAGACTTTTTGGCACAAAAAGCCCTTGACCTCCAAATGAACCCAGAAAGTTGTTCTAGATATCAAAAAATCACCTCCCAATAGCATACTATATAGGTAGCTGAAGAAGAGGCAGAAGCATAAACCCTTTAGGGCGATGCGGATATCCTTGGGAGAAAAAATATAGCAGGAACATGAGCAAGCCCTTTAGGACGAAGCAAATGTGGATGCTATATTTTTTCAACCTATATACTACTATTCTAGTGTATGCTAATAAATGAGGCATATTCGAAAGCAATCATAAATGCAAGACAAGGTTTACTATAGGCAGAGCAAAGTGAAGCCTTTGTGCGAAGCAAAGCAAAGCACATGTAAACAAACCATAAAGCATATAATGAATACAATACATGGTTTACTATAGGTGGAGTGAAGCGAAGTCTTTGTGCGAAACGAAGCAAAGCACATGTAAACAAACTAAAAAGCATATAATGAATGCTAATATTATAAGCAAATAGGATCATAATTTTCATCTCAAGATAAAAAATAATGTGATATAAATATATATATTTTGGGTTCTGGAAACATCTCTGGCACTAGCTCATTACTAGACTATCATTTGCCTGAATTTTTGCAAGCTTTTGACACTGATAAAAATCTCAAATATGATATTTACCTGCATGTTTCCTACAAGTACTATAAATAGAGAAAGTTAATTTTCTGCATTCTATACAGAGAACTCGATTAGAAGATTTCCAATGAACTTTATACCCTTCTTCTCGATAGCACCCCTCATTGTATACTTCTCCGGACCTAAGAATATATAGATATTTATAAAATCTCATATTAGTTTGTTTTTTGAATAAATATGTAATTATAATTATCTGAATAAATTAATTTTTATTTTAAACTTTTTTGTAACCATATATAATCTTTAGGAAAACATGAGTGAAATACTTAGTACTATCACCGGTGTATTAGGATGATTGTTCAGAAATCTCTTACCAAGCTGGGGAGACCCAACGCCATCTGAGTTACCTAAACTTTCTGAGCTACCAGAACTAGAAGAAGGGTCAGAGAAGGGGGAAAGCGACTATGAGACCGCTTTAGCTTATCAAAATACTGATACAAGATGGTATTCAGCTATTCGAAGATTTCTATTCTGAAAAAAGCAGGATTTGCATATCAAGTTCTATGATAGGTTTACACAATGGATTGGTTCTGAAAATGACTTCTGTGATTTATCACAAGACTGGTTAATAATCAAAGCTAATCTGAATGAAATACTTCAAGAGGCTCATATTCATTATAATGATGAAGCCAATGCAATCTTTTGGCGAAGTGATGGGCAAATAGACTTAAAAAAAACTAGTATGTATGCAATAGCAAGTCTGCGCTTCTTTCAAGATATAGCTAGATGTTCTAGAAAAGCTGAAGACTTATCGCTAGAGGAAGACTAGTAGATAAGATCAGCATATATAGGAGGTTTAACGTGGGCCAAGCCATATAAAGAAATTGCAACCGAGTTAGATTTCAATGAATATTACCCACACATCTTAGCTTATGGAAGTACATGCTGGCCAATAGGTCTAGGAGAATTTAAAATATTTATATACATTAGCATTAATCCTATCAACTTTAATCTAAAATACGGAATTTATCATGTTTTCATAGGAGGACAGCCAGCAGGTCAAAAATGTACAAGAACACAAGAACTTTTCATTATAATCCTGCGGGATATTACACTCACCATGACATACAAATGGCAATAGATCTAGGTCTTCACATAGAATTATCCTCTGAAAGTCCTAATACTTTAATATTTAGGCCAAATTAGCTTATGCACGGAGATGAAATTTTCTATCAATGGGCAAGTTATCTTACAGAAATCAAGCATGAAGGTGGACAGGCAGGTACAGTTGCCAAGCATATGCTAGTATCACTCTGGGGCGATTATATTTAGATAGACGAAGACCAGGTCCTCATCGACACATGGCATCTTTTATTTCAGCAAGAGGACGCAAAACAGTATCAGAAAAAATCAGATCACTAGGCGATCATATAAAGCGCGTCCATACAGATAAGTTTATTCTTTCAGGTAAAATTAGTGATCAGGTGATTGGAAAACAAGCAGGAGAGTTAAAAATAGTTAATGCAGGTAATGTCTCAATAAAGAATGCAATGCGACTAGAGTGGACTAATTTTGAAGAAATAATCCCAACCACATCCACGAAGTTGAAAGAATCAACCATCCATTATGTAACTGCAATGCCAAATGAAATATTTGAAAGAATTTTCCAATACCACAGCATGAATAGGGAAAAAATAAGTAAACTTTTATTGGTTAATAAGCAATGGTATTACAATGCTAGTAGACTAATATAGTATAAAATAACTCTAACAGATATCTCCAGAGTCAAGTTTACTAATGCATTGAGTAAAAATACGAAGCCAAAATTATGTGAACAAGTATTATCTCTGAAATTTATTGGAACAATAAATATAGGACTGGATGTATACATTTCTGAAGTGTATAAAGTATGCGCAAATTTATAACAGCTAAGTTTTGAAAATTGTGGGTCGCGTATAATTAACAATAAAAATTTAGATGCATTTTTAGTCGAGTGTCCTAATTTAAAATCACTTGCAATAAGAGGTTCCAGACGCTTAAGCCCAAAAACAATTACAAAAATTCCAAAACTGGCTCCTAACCTAGAAATGATAGAAATTAGTAATTGTTTGCAGATTAGAAAAGATATAATAGCCGATTTTCAAAACTTATATCCAACAATAAGGCTTATATTCATTGACTATCTCAAACAGTGAAAATAGCAAAAAACGAGTAGTTGTCCACAGTTTTCCTAATGCTATTCTTGAGATCACAATTGAGAGAAATATTTTTATATTAATATTTTTTTCTTATAAATTGGTGGTATCGATGTGAAATAAAAATCTATGAAGTGTATACTTCTCTTTTTCTTCACTAATCATTCACTAGATTGATCAGTCGTTGGTTTATACTTATTAAATAAAAGTCTTAGTTAATAAAATCTATGTGTTTGAAATATAAACATGTCTAATATTCAAGATATTTTTGAGAAATGGGAAAAAAATAGTTATATCTGATACATATTATCCGAATATGGCTTAAACTATATTAATAATTTAAAAACACCAGAAACTTGGCTACGATTTGCAAAGTATTATCCGCCTGAATATATACGTAGACGTTTATTTATACCAGGACATGAAATAAAAGGTAAGAACTATTGGAGAAACTTTGTATTCCATATTAAAAATAATTTAACCAGAAGAGAATATATAGCCAATAACTCTGAATTTAGAGAATTTAAAACCCAAGTAGCATATTTTAAAACTTTGTATATAAAAAATCGACTGGCAATTATCATCCAGTGAGCATATCATTTATGGAAAAAATGAATAAATTCAGCTAAAATAATCTAGTACGTAGTGAGGAAATAGCTTTATCGACCAGGTGGCATATTAATAAAACATGCCCAAGATCGGTATTATCAAAATGTTAATAAACTTGAGAATTGCCAGTAGATTGAGTGATTTTGGGTTTTCTGTCCAAATCAAATTATCATTGCTTTATTTCATCTGGTTAACATATTACTAATTTGTAAATCATTCACGATTGCCAGTAGATCGATCAGTCCTTGGCTTATACTAAATAATTCATGAATGAATAGATTGCTAAATCTGAAATTAGTATCTAAAATTATTTTTTTTAGTCATAAAGAATATACTATAAATAAGCTAAGTATAAAGAATTTTATTGTAAAAACTTATCTGTACTTGCTTCGCTGATATTATCATGTTCCTTGCTAATCTTTAAAACCTCGCTCTTAATATTTTAAAAGAAACAAAACATAGTACGGTACAAAATATTGATATTACAGAATTGCCACCATGTAAAATATGTAATAAAAAATTTTTAACAGTTAACTTTGAATCACTTACAATATTTCTATGCGGTCAGTATATCATAGGAAATATATTAAAAAAAATTTTTTACTTACGGAAGAGAACAAATACCCTATTCCTGATTGCGACAAAATTGTTGATCCAGTAATATCTGAACGAAGGTTTTTTGAATCATCTCAGTCTAGTGGAACTTCAGCTATTGCAGATATGTTAGGCAATAATCTTGGGTTAAATTCACCAATGAATGTATCACTATTATTACTCTTATTTAATGAGACTATCCAGAAAAAACGTACTAGGGAATCACCCGCATCTACTGAAAATTGTCTAGCAAGAAGGTGAGAAAAACTGATAAGAAGAAAGTATCGTCTATATTAAAAAAACTTATCGAAAAATTATTAGCTGATACACCTGTTCCCGCTATTGGAAAGAACTTGGAAAAAGCAAATGAAAGTGCAACCAGTATTTTTTTGCAACTCTCTGATAAGATTGATAATGCTGAAACTAAAAACGAAGATGCATCTCGAGGTCTTATTTTCAGCTATTTTGATTTTGGGAAAGCTGTATTTAAACAATACAAAGAATTAAAACCCAAACATAGCAAGGATAGATCTCAAGCATTAGTCAAGAGTGAGATTAGAGAGGCGATTCCTGAGGCAAAATGTTCTGACGAAGCTTTGTGGAAAAGGATGAAGAGATCTGAAAAGGTTTATAAGCTTTTTAATAGTATAGGCAAAGAAAAAATATCACAAATAAAATCCACCCCTCCAGGTTTTATCTTAAATCTAACTAAGGATGAAAAGGATTATGTAATGGCCGAAATCTTAAAACGAAAAGTTTGTTAATATACTGCGCCATTTCTGCTGCGCAATTAAGTTGAGCCCGGACACCGTGTCCAGACTCTACCATCAGAAAAAACAGAATTTCGTTCACGTGTATTCTCAAACATATAATAAAGCATTTGCATATCCCGCCCATATCGGGCTTGATTTTTTAAATGTGTATAACTGATTGCCAAACATCATGGAAAATAATTTCCAAGCCCGGACACCATGTCCATCAGATAGTCATATGTACAATGACTTACGAAGTGCCTTAACGGCCGGCTATTTCGGGAGATAAATTTAACCTGAGCTTGTATGCGTGTCCAACAGAAAAATATAGGTTTCGGGAGATAAATTTAACCGGATGCTGATCCAGCTTCTGCTCAATTTTGACGAGCTTGGACAAGCTTGTCCAGACTCTACCATCAGAAAAATAATATATTTTTTGCATGCGCATTTTATTCGTAATCATTTTCGTTATGCTTATCCGGCTAAAGAAAAAAAAATCTGAAATTTGTTTGGCCGATCATCTTGTAAAATTTAACCGTATCACATTGCAAGGCTTATCGTTATAACTGTATAACATGAAAAATTTATCCGTATCACCTTGCAAGGCTTATTGTTATGCATAGCTAATTTGTGAGACGGGGCACAAGTGGAAATTGCCATTTTTCCATTTTTCGACCGGGGCGCCCCGGCTGAAATTACAGTATCTAACCAAAGTCGGTCAATTAACTCATGCCACATATCGATATCAAATACTTTTAACTTCGTTGTATACGTTGATATTGGTGCACATCAGTTAAACATTGACCCAATATATTTACTTCAGTAGCTAAAAAAATCTGTCAAATTCCGATTTAGTTAATTAACACATCTTTATACCGATATGTAAAAATCTTTCTGATACGTAAAAGCATTCAGCAATAACATTCATATCGTGATTTATGTATATATTATCGAAAATTTTGGCTGTTCCACACCGTAGCTATTGATATCGCATTCATCTACATTGACCCATTGTATTCTCTCCGAATGTTGTAATGAAATTGATATTTTTAAAAAAGCGATCACGGGTGTGGTATCTGAAAGCAGGCCGTAAGTGCTATTTCTTCCGAAATAATAGTCTTAGAA